TTTTATTGTAAAATTAGTCATAAAAGTTTCAAAAACCAATTAGCAACTTTTGGAATTTTGATTTAGTGATGCATATAATAACAAGCACATGGAAATAACAATAACAGTACAATACAAAACAAAATATTTTATTTTGCACAAAAAAAAATAGCATAATGTATACAAAATTTATGTTTAGAATGAAAATATTGCATAAATATTATTGGAGTAGCACTCAACACTTGAATCTTTTTTGAAAAATTGTTGAGAGGCAATTTTCCTAAGCAAATAAAAACGAGATGAATTAATTTGTGTGCTGATGATATGTTGCTGATATCTCTCTCGTTTAGTTATTGTTTATAGCCAATAAAGCAAAACAAAGAAAAAACAACAACATACTACAAGTAGATGAACAACATAAAGTATATAAGAGTAGTGGTTGTGAATATTGTATGGCAAAATATTAGCTTACACTGAAAACAATTAAAAGCAACAGCAGCAGTGCAAGCAAATCATGCGTAAATTCAATAAACCGACTCGTTGCAGCATTGTGTAAGCTATTAGTTACTTTTATGCGTATACATGTATATGTGTACCATATGTGTGTGCGAGTACTTGCGTTCTAAACAAGCTGAAGATGTGAAAACAATGCGAGAAGAATGGAAGACGACAGCTGTTGCTGGGAAAGAACTGGGAAAGTCTAAACAACAGCAGCGCATGAAAATGTCTAGAAATCTATATATATATATATATATATATGTTACGAGATATACTCGTACATTTTTGTGTATGTATGTTCATATATATGTATATGAGAGCAGTATTTGGCAGAAAGAAAACTATTATACATTATTACACATGATTTGTGTTTCAAAAACATTTATGTTGTGAACTTTTGAAAAAAGCAACAATTTTACCGTATATAACAACAGCTAACAAGTGGCATGTTGCACTGTTGCATGAAATTAACTTCGGTTGTAATAATATTGAAAATACAGCTGCCGAAGTGTACCTATGATTTTATACGGTAATGTTTATATGTATGTATTTATACTCTTATAGACATATGGTTGAAATGTTTATATATAGAAATAGTCTAGTTGGCAATTAATTGTAATGTAATTATGCAACATTGAAGTAAAAAAATAACATTTCTCATTTAATTTGCGCTGAGTTTCTGGGCTTCATGGGCTTCATCAAGCACAAGCGCAAACTTTCAACTCTCCTCACATTTCGAATAGATTTTAGAAAGCTTTTTCTTGCTAAAAGTCCCCTCATATTGACAAAAAACATTTTCTGTAATATTATTTTACATTTTTTTATTACTATATAGTTTGCTTTCACCGCAGAGCTTTCACTGACTTTGAAGTGAAAGCTTTGTTGAATTGAGAGACAAATTTTTATTGAAAATCCATTTCCATTGTTTTGAAGTGAAAACTTATTGTAATTAAAAGCTTTCACCAAATTCAAAGTGAAAGCTCTCCTGAAGTGATTGCCAAATTTTCAATGAAAATTCATTTAAATTATTTTGTTAACTGAAAGCTTATTGAATTGAACAATTATCAACACTTGATTCTTACTGATGAAAACTTCACATATCTTCACAAATTTGACATGGGTTATTTTCTAAGTAATGATACATTTTCCGAAAAAAAATATTCAGATTGGATTAATATAGCATATAGCTGCCATACAAACTAAACGATCTCAATCAAGTGCTTATATGAAAAACTTTCTCATTTGACGAAGTATCTTTACCAAATTCGACACGTCTTACTGCCTAAAGCAGCGGTGCAATCTACGAAGAAATTTTTCAGATCGAATCACTATAGCATATAGCTGCCATACAAACTGACCAATCAAAATCAAATTCTTGTAAGCAATCCTTTGTATTTGTGTAGGATGTTATAGCGTCGCTGCAATCGAATTTTTTTTTCATTTTTTTAACTTAAAAATGTTAGCTTTAAATGTGTGTTAGATATTTTTTCTTCGTTTTTTGAATTAATATTAACTGTAAAAGCAGCATAAACTCGCTATTATCAGTTTCCGACTATCTCAACTATCTCAATATAATAATATTTTTTTTTTTATAACACAAAGCAATTTATAAGTAACCAAAAAAGTATTATTTTTTTTACTTTGTGAAATAAAAATGTTTAAAAAATGCCAAGTCAAAATAAATAAACGAAGATATTTTACTGCACTTGACAGCAAAAAAATCTGTTTTTGTTTAATTTTTCTTGTTTTAATCAGCCACCAAGAAGACCCCACAAATTCTCCTAACTATCAATATTTAATTGCCTCACCCACTTTTCGCCTCAAAAATGTTTAGCTTTAATTTGAATGTTTTGCTCTACACGCCCAGCGTTCACTTGTTTGCAAAGCTAACGGACACATAAACATAGATATTTATAGTTTCACATTTCCATACAAGCATGCTTGTGAACATGTCGATATGTACATATGTATGTATGTATACAAGTGTATGTGTGTGTGTGTAAAATGTTGTGCATACTCATGTAAGTATTTGAAGACTACATCTTTCCTTTGTTGTGGTTTTGTTGGTCTCTTTTCTGACAGCTCGAAAATTTATTTTCGACGATTTGCTTGTATGGAATGTTGTCATCTGTTTGGTGCTTTGTATCTTACAATATTTTTTCTGAAGTTTTCCGTATGTTTTTTTTTGTTGCATTTTTATTTTTTTTCCACAGCTTGCGTGTGTCTTTTATTAGCTGCTTAGCGGCAGCTTTCGAAACTTAATATGTTTTTAAACATTTCGATTTCATATTACATATGTACATGTCGCTGACACTTGTTGCCACAAAATTTCGTATATATCAACATTATTGATGGGTGGGTTGGCGAACAAGCAGTTATATTTTTAGCTGGTAGAGCTGCCACTTGTGTTTTTTTATAACAGCGCAGACCAAATGTCAATGAGATAACTACAAAAGGGCGGACCTTTTTATTTAGAGGCGTCGTTTAATTCAGAAATTTATTCGAAAAACAAAATGAAAATATTTTTTAGATTTTTTAACAACTAAACTGCAAGCTAAACTATGGCATGACATTACATCAATCAATTTACCAAGCTGCCAAGCGATAAACAATTAGAAAAAATTCAGTTCAGCGCAGGCAAAAAAGTGAAAGAAGCATAGCATTAAGTATTTACAGCAATAAGTCCGCTTCACCGCCTATATTACATATCCGTACACATACATATGTATGTGTAGACTCGAAAGTAGACGCCGTCACCGCCTTTTTACCTGTCTTGCGATAGTGTCTAATTAAATGCCAAGATACCAACTTGTTAGCAGATGAAATATGCATGCAACCGAAAAACCAGCTGACCAAGCTAAACAGCATAGCGGAGCTGTGGCCGCTACAACATCAATCGGTAACGCATTTGTGGCAGAAGAGGAAGACTCACAGACACTCAGTGAGTACGAGATAGCTGTAACTCACCATTGATCTTTCACAGCGCTCTTCAACCCAGCAGACCGGTTAGCTGAGCGGGAGTATGCATTGAGTAAATGAGCGCAGTAAATTTTTAAAGTAGTGCCTTTGGACTATTATAAAAAATTATCTATTAGCAGAACACTCATTGAATTGTTGAGTAGTCTCGTGTATTTTCTGAGTGTTTTTTTTTATCTAAATAGTGAGTGCTTATTTGAGAGCGAAAACATCTAGATAATAATTAGTAAAGCACAATTTCATTTGAGTGACGAATTTGAGTGAGCGCAATTATTTTTATTTAGCTATGGATTTTTAAAGATAATAACTTTGAGCGATTATCTGAGATGAGTTTAATGTTAACTTAATTGAGTAGATGAGCATTATTTAGATAAAACGTGTTATCTCAGCTGTTGGTTGAGTGTTTGTAATTTATTTTGACAAAGAAAGGTATCGAAAGTGTAACTAAAATATTGAGAGCTAAAACTAGCTCACAAAATTTTTATCTAGACAACTGAGTACATTTTAGAGCTGTATTTTAAAGATATTTTGAGTATATGAAACGAATTTGTTTAGATAAAATTCTCGAGAAGAAATAAAGCACTCATTGATAATTACAATAAAAAAATACGATTGAGTTATGGAGCTAAGTAACTGAATTGTTAATATTAGAATATTTTGAATTTAACTGAATTATGTAGTAAATATTGCGAACGAAATAAAATAAATTTAAAAAAAAAAATGCATTTTTTCCAGGTTAAATATTTATAAAATATCTTAAACCGAAGAGCAAATATAATGGATATTCTATAAAATAATTTTAAAAAATATGTAAAAATTAATAAAATCAGAATAATTGCATAAATTGCTGAAAAATCTAATTTTTGTGTTAAAAAAACATAAGTTAGTAAATATTTTTTCATACCAATCACAGCCGAAACGGGCATTAGCCGCCTTAACAAATTTGTGTTCAACTCAAAACGTTTTGTGGATTTATGAGTGTCTTTATGATCAATTTAATAAGAGTTCTAGGTACCACAACAGACCGGCGTTATAAACTGTTCAAGTAAGAGCCCTATTAGGATCAACCATTTCACATCACCTAACCAAAGATGAAACAAAAATCGAACCAGCCGACATGATCGAAAATAGATTAACATAGTGCAAGCAACAAAAATAGACAAGAAAAAGAGATTTCTCTAGATAAAGCTCAATAAACCAACGCAATGACTTAACAAGCTAAACATTGAATAATAACGGAGCTTATCGACGAAATTTTTTCATAAAAGAAAATATTCTTACAAATTCTTTTTTTTCTTTTATGAAAATATTCTTACAAAAAATATGTAAAAAAAAATAATTCACTCGCTCAAAAAATGCTTTTACTTCCACAGAAAAAAAAATTCTTTGAAATTTTCCAAAGAAAAAATTATTTGATAATTCTCAAAACATTTTATTGACAAACTCACACCTATTTTCGTAAAGCAATTTACTAACAATTTCTATAAATTTAAGTCACAGAATTTGCAAAATTTCAAATCGTATAAATTCGCCGTAATCGCTCAGATATGAAAGCCAGTCAAACGCCCTTGCCACATCTGATACACGCCGAGAAGCAAGCGTCCGAAATAATACGTGAGGCAAGGAAACGAAAAAGTGTACTCATGAAGAAAGTAAAATATGCTGCAAATAAAGAACTCGAAATGTTGGGAACAGAAAGGGAAGAAGTGTTAAATGAAGTTACTAAACATGTTAATGAAAGCTTAGCAGTAATACAGAGGAGAGTGGAAAATGCAACAAAAGAGAAAATTGCTAAAATTGATGAACAAGTGGCGAAGAATCGAGACAAAGTGGTCAATATGCTATTGAATTTGATGTATCAATTTACACCCGAAGTGCATAAAAACTATCCATATTTGAAAGATCCAAAAGAAAACGCTTTTAGTTAATTTCGCCTACCAAGCCAAATAAACTGCAAAAATACTATTAAAAAAAGGTTTAATAAAACTCAGCTCCTCAGATATTTCAGTCTGGCAAAAGCTGAACAATAAGAAGAAAGTGACCAAATGATTCCACCTAGCCTTCCTCCATACAGCTTTGGCAAGAAGCGTCCGACAAATATTTAGACACACCGCGTGTAAACCTATTGGACAATATCCAGTCAGAACACCTACAATTGCGGCGAGATAGACTTTGCTAAGAGCAAGTAGTTCATAAGATCTCTTACGATTCACTCTGGGTCAGAAGAATATCGCAACGACACAAGTTCTGGTTGTTGACCAGCACTGGCAGAGCTTACCGGAGGTCCATGGGTTCATCGCTGGACCGCAAGAGACAATGGAGTACCGACATGCTTCCAATCAGATGAAATTTCATCTCATCGGCTTTGCAGCTTTCGGGGAAACCACTGGGACCGGGCATCCAAATAAAACTAACACGGAAGAAGCTTGATGCTATTGCTAATGAGGTCATGCACTCCTTATCTAGCTTTTAGCGCACAGTCAGCGAATACTAACGGTACTATGTCTGCAAATGGCAAAAAAAAAACTAAATAAAGGTCTTAAAAATTGCCAAATTTTTTTAATCATCAACGTTCGTACACTTTAGTTAAGAAAACAAACCTTAGGTTTCTAGCGTAAGGCGACTCTAAAATCTAGTGAGTTTACCAAGCAATACTGCTAGTGATTTAAGCCTCGGAAGAGCACAACCTAAAAATGTAGGAAACATTATTTTGACGGCCTCTGTGTAGATTCATTAATTCTCAAAAATCTGGTAAACTTTCGCAAATGATTAGAGACTTATTTTGTAAGATTAACCCAGAGATACACTTTAAGTAGGTGAAGCCCTGACATAAAATCACTTTAACAATATGCTGTTAAAGACCTCTTAGGCTTAAGCTTCTCAAATGCTCCAAACTTTGCTGATGATTCACCGACAGAAAGACTGTTGCAGTGCAGATCTCAACTTAAGAGCAAGCGAATCGAAGAAGTAGGTATTTTTCCTTAGCTTTTATTGTTAAATTCGCTTGTCCAAACATACGAACATAAATAATTATTAATTTGTTACTGATACTCATATAGATTATATCATTATTTCCAATCCAGCTTCCCACACTGCGCCGCCGCACAGCTTTTCAGCGCTTGCGGTGCATAACTTTTGCCGAAAAAAGCAATAAAATTTGCATTTAACATGCAGTTTTTTGTTTAAATTACCATTCACCCATTAAAGTTGTCATGAAGAGTAATCGCCACGCAAATACAGAAAACATATAAACAAGTAATAATCATTATTCAATATTTCAATAAACAAGAAGCGGTAACAGTTGCCAAAAAAAATTGACGGCTAGATTTTTAATAAGGCATGCGTACGCGGCGTTCGAAAACGAGTTCTTCACATAGCAACAAAAAATTATAATAGAAAGCGCGGAGGACAAAACTAAAGCGTTGGAAGCTTAAGCAGTAAGCTTATTGAGAGCGTTGCGGCGTGTTGCGCTAATGCCAAAATATTCGATCGAGTTTCAAGACAAAGTTAATAACATTCATTTTCATAAAACAACGACAAACTGTCAAAAATTAACTTAATGAAAGACTATGCGCAGATAACCCAACAAACTGTTAAATTTCAGCATTGTTCACTTGGCATACCAAGAATTAGAAATAATTACAAAAACAACAAAAAAAATGTCGATCATTAGAAAACATGGAAAAATTTGCATACAATAAAAGTTTAACCAACGCAGACTATACAAATAATAATAAGTAAGCACACAAGCGATGAGCATAAGAAGCGAAGAATGTAAGTTTTTAAATAAAGAAAAGTGTTGGTAATTTTCTATATATGTATTTTATAAGCATAGCCCCAACCTGTAAGAGCAGTGTGGCAATTTTGTGACCTTTAGACTTAAAGATCCCTTTATTTACAATTTAAATAGCTGTATTTGCAAGGTGTGTTGTTAAACATAGCTAATATTCGTCATAAATAACATCGTTAAAGACATAAAAGGGATTTACATAAAATTGACAATATATTAAGAAATAAATTTTAACGAAAATTATTTATACAAAACTGTTCAATGCATTCCAATAGTAATAGAGTTGTTTATATACATTTATTCCAATAATAGTAATATTTTATACTTTATGAAAATTTTTGGCAATTTAGTAATGGTATACCTTGATCGGTTGGTCCGGCTTAGGTCTTTACATCCGAAGTATTATACTAAGCCTGATAACACACGCAGTATTTTTTATATTATACTAGTCTCAGACCAGTTTCCTAGAACGAGACTCCGAGAGCCACCATGTTATAATTGAATTATTGAATCAGACATCGTTGTCGTAGAAGTTTTGCTTATAAAAGTAATATTTGTCGATAATTCTCTGCTTTTGCTTCTTTTTTGGTATGTGTTTCTACTATTTTGTTAATTAAAATATTCAAGTAGGATTTCTCACTCGTATATTTTATGATGATTATTACTAACAATTATTGCCGCTGACAAACCTCATTGTTTGGATTTTGGTCTTACTTTGGTAAAGATTCATCGAAGTCGTTAAAGTTATATGGCATACGAGATCCTTTGAAATTCCTGAGCCATTAGAAAAGGAGTAACGCTTGCATATACCTGCCAAGCAGCAGGTTTGCATGTTGGCTTCTTTCTATCATCCAGAAGGCAGTCAACTATCTTTCAGGAAACCATAAATCGTTAAAAAGATATACAACTAGCTTTTGGGAGATCATAGATCAAAACAGGTCTTTAATCTTTAATTCTCTATCGGGAGATCATTGATCATTACAAGTCTTAGATCTTGAACTAGGTTTCAGAAAAGGAGTCAGATCTTCATATGGCTTTCAAGAGATCATATAAGAGCTCATAGATCATGACACGTGTTAGATTTTGATTTGATTCAGCTAACTTTCAGAAGAGCATACAACGTGACATCTATCCGTTCATCAACTCGCTTGTGGGAAATCATAAATACGTCTTAGAACTTCAACTCGCTTTCAGAAAATCATAAAACGAAACACGTCTTAAGTCTTTAATTCCATTTCTGGAGATCACAGATTTGCACTTGCTTTCAGGATATAATAAATCGATACATTAGATTAGATAACAAGAAGAATGAAAAAATTAATGTATCCAAAGGCGAAACGACTTTAATTCTTTGTTATCTTTATAGCGAGAAAAAGCTGTTTCATAAATAATAAACATGCATAAGTTGGATGATCAAGTCTCGAACTCATAAAACGGAGACAATGTTATAATCGAATGCTATATATAGCTCCAAAAGCTATAGTACATACATATGTATACGACAGAAAGTTCAATTCTGGGTACATTAAAGTACTAGTTGCATGAAATCTGTCCAGTTTTTTTATCAAAGTTTCGAGGAAACAATACTTTTTTAAATCACATCTTGAAAGAAATAAGAACCTACTTACAAAACTTAATGCATTTTTAGGCGTTGAAAATTAGTAAAAAGAAATTTATATACTGAATGTTATACAATAGATATTTGTACGTATGTAAGATATGTTCAAAAAGGTTCCCATCAAAATGATTGACAATTAAAAGTTAACTAAAAAGTCGTAGTTTTTTTACTTGCCACAAAATTATATTAGTTTGTGTGATTATTCACTATATACTGATGTATACAAATCTATTGAAGTGTTGCTATTAAAAATGTTTAGTGTAATTATTTACATATGTATATATATGTATACATATGTAAATGAATGTTTAATGTTGGAGGAATTTTAAATAATTATATGACACTTGTATTTGCTCTAATTTTATGGCAACCTAAAGCACTCTTTGAATATTTTCCAATAAAAAAATAAATAAAAGTTTTAGTACAAGATATTTCATGTAAACTGAGTAACAAGAAGAGTTAAAGCTACAAAATTTTAATGAAAAAAAAAATGCTATGCATATTTTTGGTTCCTTTTATACCCTAAACGGAGTATATTATGTTTGTCACAAAGTTTGTAACACACAAAAGGAAACGTTGGAGAAAATATAATATATATGTAGATGTTTAGTCATGTCCGTCTATGTGTCCGTCTTTATATATGCGAACTAGGCCCTCAGATTTTGAGATATCGACCAGAAATTTTCCACACGTTCTTTGCTCTTCAAGACATTGCTCGTTTGCCGGAACTACCGATATCGGACCACTATAGCATATAACTGTCTTACAAACTGACCGATCGAACTCAAGATAAAGATCTTTTTATATTACTTTATGCTATAAAAATGGACCTATGAAGGGTATTATAGCATTTTTATTCTATTGTGTTTTCAAATTTTTATTTTTTTGTAAATAAATATATTAGTATGTGTGTGTAATCTACATGTATACTTATGTCTTTTGTTTCACACTTCAAAAATGCCACTAAAAGTGACTTTATGAGCGCATAAATTGACACAATTGACAAAAATGTTTGGTAATTAATGATTATTTTCCACCAAGCAATGCGGCTATTGAACAAAAAAAACAATACAGCAAGAAGATACCAAACACCAAAACAACTTTTTATTTGCTTTATTTTAAATTTGAATGAACCACAAATGAACGGAGTGGCGCACAAAGTCACTTGAAAGCGCTGCTTTCCACAGGCGAGCGGTGAGAAAGGTTTATACAATAATATTATTGCTAGAAAATTTGGTGAACAACCAAACACAGCTTTTGTTATGCACGCCACAGGCATGCAACCAATACAAAAGTGGCATGTAAGTAGTTGTGTTGCACGTTTTTATTAACACATTTGTGTAGCTAATAAAGTTTAAAATGCAAATAAATGTAGAAAATAGCATACTAAAATGGTAATACACAGTCAACGGTGTAATATATTTTGTAATAAATAAAGGGCCGTAACAACAACAAACGACAAGTGGTTCGAATTTGAGGCGCATGGCGTTCTTGCAATGACGGCCACACAAAAGAACACA